AAGCCACATGTGCAAAGTTATTCAACAAAAACCGCTCAAATTTAACCAAAATTTTTGCACACATCTACGCAAAAAGTCACGTAAGCTATCGGTCTAAACTCTTTACTACAGCTTCACCTAATAGTAAAAGTGAACTGTTTTTAGTTTTTTGTCATTTCGATTAAAGAATGCTGATTTAGAGCAGCAAAACTATAGGGTGAAAGCACGTGCAAATACATACGTATTGGTTATGCCAAGCAAACTAGACTATCAGTTTCTAGCTACACTTTTCAAAAGAATCATTCAAGTGGACAGTTATTATTCATTGCCAATGTTTAAGCACAAATTTGCTAAATTTTATAAAATTCTCCTAATTAAAGAGGGTTTAGCGTCACATGATATTAGCTTAAGCAATTAGCATAAATAATAGTGCTTGACACAGCTGCACGGAAAAGATGAAAAGAAACTGTTAATCTAGATTCCATGACATTACTATAAAGGAAATTATTAACATTGTTTTAGAGAGGTAAACTACCACCATATATTTTTAAAAATCTAGTTGGTTCTGTAAAGTACAGGTCTGTTTGGAATAATAGGGTTGCAATCATAAAGATAATGTTGGTTATTATAGAGTGTCACTTTCTTGCTTACTGTGGTTTGTTGGTGTGTATTGACAAAAAGTCATGATATTTAATAAAAAACACCTTGGGTATGAAAAAAATCTGTGGCCAAAAAACGATTGAAATGCGATTTAAAGGAATGAAAACAAAAGTGTTGACCAAACTGGCAGCTATTCTTATACCATTGATAATAACTAATGAATGAATATTTTCGGTAAAATTATTATCAATGCTACAAGTGTAGCTACCTGTTCAGCCACCAATTTTCATTTCATTTCCTTAAGTCGTATGCTCAATCCTTTTTGCCTTACCTTTTTTTTTTCACACCTAAGGTGTTTTTGATTAGATTACTATAGCTAGCTAGGCTATGTATATTTTGATCCCTACTTGTCTTTATAAAATTAAATGTTTTTATTATACTTGTTAATAGAGTAAATGTAGAATTTTAATAGTTTTGTTGTAAATTAAATTATATCTGTTTGAAAGCTACAGAAATTGTCTTCAATGAGAGGATATCAGCTAACTTGAGATACAGTAGGTAAGCTTATACAGTTTAGAGACGGCTTAATAAGTGATATAGAAATCTTTACTAAAAGACAAACACATTGTCAAATATGCAATGTTCATAGAAGGTTTTGTCCTCATCAGGTTTAGGCAGTTTATCTATACACAGAAATATATATACATTACTAAGCAAAGAATTCACAAAACTGGCGATTGCTTAAAGCTTCATAAAAGTATTCTGTTGTGGTCACTAAATAAAATTGTCATCAAATCAAATAAGTTTATTTAATATTTAGTCAGTATGGTAAACGATTGCAAAACCTTCTGATGACTCAAATTCTTTATTGAATATTGTTTGTGTTTATCCTATTCAAACAAAGTACATAAATAATTTATCTAACTGTTACATGTAATTTCCCCGAAAGGGATCAAAAGCCACCTGGAGAGGTCACCTGTTTTAACCAGTCCCACCATTATACTGTAGTTTGTTGTCTGTCAGTCAGTAGACTCTAAGTGACGTCACATAATGGATGTTTAACGTTGCAATTTGTATTGTCGTGAAGTCAGTAAAACGTGCGCATGCCATGAATCACAATATGAATTATGTACTCTATAGGCAACAACACAGCAAGGCATATGAGCTTCAAAAGCAAGATATAAAAATATTTGTTAATCTTACTTTTGGTTTTATTCACTGTTAAAACAAAACACTTTAGAAGACCCTGCAGAAGTACATTTAGTTGTAATCGTAGTACGTTTTAAATAAAAATATTACCACTCTTATTGTGAGAGTAAAACATGTTTTCATTGTTTAATTATGAATTTAGTTGATTTACAGCAGATCAGTGTGGGATTACTGCACTTTGAAAAATAAACAATGGTGATCGCGTGATAGTATTTAGAGGTCATTAACAATTTATCCGCCAAGTAGGAAATGCCCTCAAAACTTGTGGAAAAATATTTTAAAAAACGTTCTTTACATATACTCAAATTACTTTATAAAACAACAAAAATATCAATGTAAAACAAAATATGAAAATTAAGACAATGTTGGAATAATATAGTGGTTAAAAAAAGTTAAGATGTTAGCACACAGTTTTTGTTTTGCTTGAACGGGCTGTAGGGAGAGTGGTGTATTAATCAATTAAACCCATCGATTAATCATTTATCAAATACCACTAATATCCCAGCTCTATATGTGAGCCACCTGCTATAATTTTTTCCAAGTCTTTGAATAGTGGGCAGGTGGCAGAAGATTACAAGTTAGCTAATGGTGCTCTTCTTTTCAAGAGGGGTGATAAAAAATTGTCCCAGTAATTATTGGCCTATTAATCTTACACCAGTGGTACAAAAAGTTTTGGAAAGTCTAATAAAATGTGCTTTGCAAAGTCATTTAACAAAGTTTAAAAATTTGTTGGATAGTCAGCATGGTTTCACTTGGGTAAAATCTTACCTTAATTATATTTTGACATTCTTTGAATAGATTACTTCTTGTGTAGGTGAAGGAAAAGGTGTGGATTTCGTATATCTGGATTTTCAGAAAGTATTTGATAAGTTGCCACATTAAAGGCTTGTTATCTCTGTAGGTGTGAGGGATAAGTAGGATCATTGAATAGAAAACTGGCTGAATGGAAGAAAGAAGAAAGTTGTCAAAAACGGAGTTCAGTCAAATTGGTTTCATGTCACAAGTATAGTACCTTAGGGATCAGTGTTGTTAATGTTCAGACTTTTGCTCTTTTTAATTTACATAAATGACCAAAATAAAAGAATGGTCAATAAATTATATAAATTTGCTGTTGGCAAAAATGTTTTAGATTTTCCTGGCTGTAAGAAGGATACTGTTGCTTTAACAAAAGGATTTATATTATTTGGTGGGTTCCGTAAATAAATGACAGTTGGCTTACTGCTTTTAATTATAATAAATACAATGTAATGCATGTGGTATATCACAATTTGAGGTATAAATATAATTTTGATGGGCATAACCTTAACTGTTGTAAGGAAAAAATAGATCTTGTGTTCTAATTGATAAGTGGTAGGCAAATAGGATTTTAGGTTGTACCTACAGAAATATTGAATACAAATCTTTCAAGGTTATAATGTCATTGTATAGATCACTGGTTAGACCACATATGGAGTACTGTGTTCAGTATTGGGCTCCTTATCTTAGAAAGGACATTGTATTATTGGAAATGGTTCAAAGAAGGGCTACAAGGATGATGTCTGGCATGGAAAAAGTTGTCATATAAGGACAGGTTAAAATTTCTCAAATTGTTTTTTCTTGAAAAAAAAGGGGAAGAGTTGGAGTGGATCTGATTCAGGTATTTAGGATTATTAAGGTTATTGATAGTGTTGATGCATCATCTATTTTCATATTTAATGGTGAGAATAGTAACACTAAGGGACATATATATTTTGCAGGGTTGGAGTCATCTTCAACTAAAACAGCTTTATTTTAATAACAGGGTGATTGGCTTTTGGAATGAGTTGCTTTCAGATGTGGTAGATACAATTAATTTAAGGGAGAGGTTGATAAATATTTGAATGATGAGAGCAAGCTTTCAGCATTTAATTTTACAAGTTTAGTATAGTAGATGGGATGGTCTAAATGGACCAACAGGTTCCTTGTTGTCCTTAAATTGTTCATATGTGTGAAGTGAGGAAAATTCTAGAGTATGATAAAAAAAGCTTTGCAAAATCATTTGGTCAAATATATCACAAAAGACAAACAACATTAATTTACTAAAAAAAATCAGTTTTACCAGTATGTTAAATATTTTGAAGTTATCTGGATGATAGAAAATGTGTAGATTTGAAGTACTCGTATTTTCTAAAATCGTTTTATAAGATACCACACATGTGATAAGTTATGAAAATCTGATTAGTTGAGGTTGAGGAAAGGCTAATTAATTGGATTGTAAGGTGGTTGGGTGATATAAAGTAAAATGTTAAGTGGAATCCACTCAAACTGGACATTTGTTCCTTGTCATTTGCCTACAGGTAATAATTGGGCCTTTGCTATTTATTTATATTAACAGTAATGATAGGAGCATAATCAGTAAAAAGTTGCTAACAACATTAAACCCCTAAGTATTTTTAATTGCATTAAGGATGTTAAGGTACTATGGAATGACTTGGATCAACTTGTAAGTGGGACAAATAGTTGGCAAATGGCCTTTAATTACTGTTTGTTAAAGATAATGAATTTATCATAAGTTGGATTGCATATTTAATGCAGAAGGGAACCTACTCAGTTTACAGTATGGTTGCTGGTAAGTAGGAACATTCTCAATTTGTAGTGCATATACATTAACAGCAATGATGTTAGAAATTGTAAAATAAAAGAGCTACTTAACAAGCATAGAGGACCCTTTTATATGTTTAAGGATAAAAATAGATGTGTTAACTTTTCAGGAGTACTCCATCAGACTATGTGAGAGTGAATTACTCAGTAAAATCCAAGGCTTAAGTGAAATATTACTTGTGATATACTTAGAACAACAGGTGGGCCGACTGGACCTACAGGACAGTTTTAAGGATAGGGGTGAATTATATAATAAAGTTGTGTTCCACTTAAGCAAGTTAGGTAGTACAATGTTGGAGGTTTCAGGAAGCTCTGAACACATTTATTAAAGGTAATTTAAACATGCACAGTGTAGGATCGACTCCTAATTGTAACTCTGACAGAAAAGAAATGACTTTAAAACTAAATATAATTTTCCTTCTGTACTAAGAATGTCTCTAAATTCAAAATATCAAACAAATATCAAGTTTTTTTTATGCATATGTAAAAAGACCAAAATAATATTGCATGTTTTAAGACATCATACTATAAATATTATCACTGACGAAATTAACAATGCTAACTAATTTTTTAATAATGTTTTCACTTTGTAGGTGTGTCTGTTGTATTTTCCACAAAGCTACTCAAGAGCTATCTGCAACAGCCATAATTTAGAAATGATATACAGAATGAAAGGTAGCTAGTGAACACAACCTAACTAACTCTTGGGCTACTCTTTACCCAGGAAAATTGGAGTGGATCATCACATTGTAACTCCTCCATAGATGAAAGGATGAGCATGTTTGGAACTTTTAATGGAAAAGATACAAGACCTATTAAAGTTGTCTCAAAATTACACATTAAAAATTGTTTTGACCACTCAGTAAACACTTTCAAGTTATTTTAACTATAAAATAACTTTTCTTGGCATTAATTGATAGGATTGTTAGGGTAACAATGAGGTTGGAAAAAGGAGACTCTGGGCATATCTGGAAGATCAATAAAATAATTCTATGGTGTCCTAATTGAGTGCATCCTACAAAATTACTGTACCATTGAATTAAAAGCATTATAGAAAAATAAATTTGTAATTGTTCTTCCACACATTAGAAAAAGAATATTTAAGAGTTGAAATTATTTAATAATAATAATAAAAAAAACGTTTTATAGATATGTTTCAAAAAATCTCAAATATAAAATTTGGATTTATTTCAGTTTTTTTTTTTAATTGAAAACATTGGTTGATGACTTTCCTGATTTTTCCAAGTTAACACTTATGGCCCCTGAAGAGGGAGGTTGAAATAGTTTTAAATAAAACTGTGTTAATTTTTAACCTTGTAACGTCAATACAGGTACATTTTTTTACACACACTGTTTCTCAGTATCAGTTGTAAGCGAGATATAATTGCCTATATCTCAGATTAGAGCAGTGTTTCCTAACTAGTGTATCATCAAACAAAAACAGGTGTGCCCAGAATTTTGGAATAGTAACATATGCAAATAAAGATTTAAAAGTATCATTTATATAAATTAGTCTTGTGGATTGAACTGAAGAATATTGTCTTGTTCTTTTTATGTATACACAAGATGTTACATCACACTATACTCTAACAACTTCATATTTCACATGGTAAAAAGAGTTGTGTACTGGGTCAAGTTTTTATAAGATGCTAGGGGAGAGGGGGGTTGGTGTGCCACAGAACATTTTTATTAAAGTCAATGTGCCTTTAGCACTAACAAGTTGGAAACACTGCCTTAGAAAGTCATAAATACCTAATAAAAGCTTCTTTTCCATTCTTTTCAATTGTTCAAACCAATATGGCATCTAGTTCAGTGAAGACTTGTGTAGGTATCAAAACAAAGTGATAAAAGCTTACTTTTATATGTTGCTAGTAGAAAATGTGTTCTGTCAAAGTTACAGTCCTGGTTTTTTAAGCTTGACTTATCCTTTTATACTTCATTTGAATTATGATGTTGCAGTATGCAAGGAATAGAAATGTTTTTCAAAGATAAAGATGAGATAAGTTTAGTTAGATTATTTTGCATTCGACTGTATGAAGTTTCTCTTTGCCAACAAGGAGGTTGTTAGATTGTATTTACATTTTACATCAGGCCTTATCAGCCTAAATAACTGCTCAAATGGACCAAAAACAACAAAATGTAAAAATATGTATTTAAATGAGTATAAAATGAGTTTGAAACATAAAACATATATCAAATGAAACCTTCCAGTTCCAATTAACAATTTAAAAAAGTCTATTTGCTTATGATTTTGTAATGGTAAAGAAAGGTATTTTTATTGTAAGCCAGTGATTGCTGTGTTTTTCACTTAAAACAAAATTAAAATTCTATACAGTTCTATACAATAAAAGCTTTATAAAAAGTTTTAGAGATAAAGGCAACCCATTTCTTCTTAGTATATTCTTAAGATGAGAGGACACAAGTTTAGGATTTTGAAAAGATAAACTAAACTCCAGTGAAGAATGTGTTATTTTTAAAATGGTGATTATTCAAGAATTTGTAGTGCATACTGAAGAGATTTAAACATTTTTGCTATTAAAAAAAGTAAAAGTGACTTATACACTCTCATTATAATAATCATTTCTTATTTCAACCACTGTCAGCCATTATGGCTTCATCAACGTGATAGTTCGTGTACTACAAGGCATGGTGAAGCTGCAATGGTCAAATGTTGGCTGAAATAAACATTTTTATTATCTGGAGAGTGAATGTAATTTTTTTTCAAACTTTTATTGCCAAAACAGAGTGATTAACTTATGGAATGAGCTGCCATTGATAATAGTTAAGGCCAGGACTTTACAAAAGCTTAGCAGTATTTAAAAAAAAGCAACTGAGGAAAGGAAAAGTGTCCTTGGCATAGTGATAGGCAAGTTTTCAAGGTAGTGTTATGCTTCAAGAATTCTTACCCGCCTAACCTGGAAAACAAAATAATAAACACCCAGCTGGACAAACTAGAATACCCTCTAAAACTGACTTTCAATGTACATAAAATGAAAGTGGACCTAGTATTACTGTATTTATAAAGTGTATCATTCATGATAAATAAAAGTAAAATAAAGTAAACAAAGCCTATCTGCAAATCAAACTGTTTTTAGATCCAAGTGCAGACTAAAACCCCTTTCCATTTTTAGATCAAATCAACTATCTACATAACTCTGTGGATGTATATCAGTATGAATGCTTGAACTGTAAACAAGAGTATGTAGGATTGACAGCCAGAAAACTAGAAGAACGAATCCACAATCATCTGAACTTCAGAAATGCCCCACAAAAGTAGCAAAATACATGTGGTACTGTAATAACAGCCCACCCGACCAACCAATAGTTCAAAATCCTTTTCAGAACACAAAATGAGACGGATCTACATACTTCATGATGATGAGGAACCCACTTGAAGTATATATATTAGGTCGTCAAGAAATTGATGTCACTTTTTTTAGATAGAAAAAATCTAGAACAACTTGTATATACAAAACAAAACATTTATTAAAT